GAGAACAACTTAGAACTTACATAGAATTTACATTGAACTTTGCCTTTATATACAGCTTGCTCTTTACCAGGCACTGCTCAAAGCACTTTGTGGTTTCAAAGAGAAAAATGTTGTTTTCCTTTTCTCTCTTCCTTCATACTTTCTCCCTTGGCCTTTACCCTTAAACTCAAAAAGGTTTTGGTAAAGTGCTCTTCAACTTTTATTTGTGATTATTAAGGTACGTATTCATTGGGAAAACCAGTTGGCACAATACAGGAAAGCTAACTATAGAAAATAAAGATCCTCAGAAACTTTCCTCCCCATCCTTATCCACCAGAGGTTATGCCCTCTGGGGATCGCAACGAGAGAGAGAGAGAGAGAGAGAGAGAGAGAGAGAGAGAGAGAGAGAGAGAGAGAAAGAGAGAGGCTTGCTTTGTTTTCTTTTACATGTTATCTTTCTACATTAATCTGATTCTGCAACTTGCTTTCCTTAACTCAATACTTTCTGGATATCTGTCTCTCTTTGTCTCACCCCCTCCCCCCATGTAGCACCGGGAGGTGATAAACCTGATATCCTACCTCACCCTCCCCTGGTACTATAGGCTTGCACCAAGACACTTCATCTCAGAGATATTTCTGTATCAGCACACTTAAGTATACTTTACTCTTCATCTATGAACGATTCTATTGCTTTTCTCTCTATTTGGCTTTCTTTTACTACCCCAAAACATCTTTGTAGATAAATCTTTGGGTATGGATGTACAAAGAACTGATGGACATTTTCCTGGTATTGAAATGGCTGAACTGAAGCAGGCCAAATAATTCTTCCCATGTCATTACTCTTCCCAAAAGGTTATACGAATAGCCTATTTTTAACACCATTTTCTCACACATTGGTTAACATTTGGGATTAACCAACCTTAAAAACTTGCTGATTAGGGCTGGGGAAGATGACTCAGTGGGTAAAAGCTTTTGCTCTGCAAGCATGAAGACTCGAGTTCAAATCTTCAGCAGTCACCTAAAAAGAGCCAGAGCAGCAGGACTGAGACAGAAGTGTCCCTGGGCTTGCTGGGTGCCAGGTCAGCTCTTCAAGCTCAGTGAGAGACCTTGTCTCAAAGCAATAAGGTGAAGAGTGACAAAGCAAGACAACTGCTGCGCTACCCCAAGGTCTGCCATCAGTGGGGCTGAAGGATTGATTTTATTGTTCTTATCTGAGTTGCTAATTACCAGCAGGCAAAAAGGCCTGATAAACCTGCAGCCTGTGAAGTCAGACTCCCTGGAGCCTAGTCTTCTTAAAATGTGAGGTCTTGGGCAATTTGGGTCCCTTTCTCCAGAAAAAAGGGACTGTGAACACACAGATCTTAGAGATTATACAAGATATGAAGGACTACGGGAATCCCGATACGTTTGCTACTTGTCTCAATTTTTCACAAACGTGTTTGCTCCAGTGTTTTAGTTTTGGGGTCCTTCTTTGTGTCAAGTTTAGCAGAATTCGCGTGTCGCTGGTTATTTAAAGCTTGAAGAACTACTGGCTCTGCTTTTTAAGTGTCCAGCCCCGCCTTAGACATACTGCTGTACACTAATGAGATTTTAAACAAGAGGACCAGGTGAGAGCATCTCTCGACAGCCAGGATCCGCGTCCACAGACCCTCGGTAACTACGGTCCAGCGGCACATAGCAACGCCCCCGGCAGTTCTCCAACTTGAACAGTCAGCCCTCCGACGCCTCAGACCCGCCCCTCCGCGCAGGCTCGGCCCCACCCCCACCGGAAGCG